TACCTTGTCATGCATCCAAAGGTGCATCTCAAGCCAGTCCAGAGAGGTGATACTCCCCCTCTCTGCAACTTTGTCCAGGCCGCAGTTGGAGTACTGCATCCAGTACTGGGCGCTGAGCTTCAAAAGGGATGTGGCCATCCTGGAGAGGGTTCAGAGGAGGGCCACCCACTTGGTGAGAGGGCAGCAGGACAGGCCCTACGAGGACAGACTGAAGGACCTGAACGTGTTCAGCCTCAGCAAGAGGAGGCTGAGGGGGGACCTGGTGGCTGTCTACAAGCTCATTAGGGGAAATCAACAGCAAACAGGCAGAGCCCTTTTCTCCCAGCACCACCTGGGGTGACAAGGAACAATGATAATAAGCTGATGGAGAATAGGTTTAGGTTAGAGATCAGAAGGCAATATTTTACAGTTAGGGTGGCCAAAATCTGGAACCAACTTCCTATGGAAGTGGTCCTCACCCCTACCTTGGGCAAATTCAAGAGGAGGTTGGATGATCATCTGTCTGGGGTCTTGTGAACCCAGCATTCATTCCTGCCTGTGGCAGGGGGTCAGGCTAGATGACCTGTTCAGGTCCCTCCTGACCCTAGCTACTATGAAACTATTTCCTACCTATGGGGATTTTTTACCATCTTGTACCATCTACACCTTTCCCAGATCCTGACAAAGGGACTTTGATCCCAAAAGCTGGCAGAAAAGGACAGTTTTCTTCCCGTTTCCCAGTTGGTCTAATAAAAGGTATCATTTTGGAACCAAGAGTTCTGGCTTTTTGTCTGTCTCAGTTCGTGCTGGCCTTTAGTGTGCATTTGCAGAAGTCAGCAGGGCAGCTAGTTGGCTGCAGGAGAGGGAACAAGCATTTCCTCATCTGCCCAGGTAGAGCGACTGGTGAGTAGCAGGGGCTTAGTTTTGAAAGACAGAAGAGGAAAATTGTCAGATGTCAGTTTTGAAATGCAGCTTTTGCTGAAGTCCACTAAGCACGTTTAGTTTCTGCTATGCAACTGAACAGTCTTTTTCTCATTTAAACTGATTTTCTCATTTCAGCCAAATTTTGATCTTCAGACACTTTCAGTATTTCCAATTCAGATGTATTTCATACCCTTTTGGTACCTTGTGAGCAATAAAATTTGTAACAACAGAGGTTTTCTGTGGAACCAGCATTCATTGGTCACCTGGCTGTGACTATCTCCTTTCCGTTATTCGGGTATACCTATCTGATGCAGTGACTTTTACAAAGTACTTCACATGGAGAGGGCGAGAAGGATCGAGCGTTACATAGGGATGGGCGAACTTATTCTGAAACCTGTATGACAAGTATAACACGGTTTCCAGGTAAAGCTGGGCGAGGGCTGAGTAAATTAGTGAGCTTCTGCGGGCCGATGGAAAAGAAACCCACTCATTCGGTTTGGAAATGAAAAATGATGCTAAGAGGCAATTACTTCACCCTGTTTCACGCATTTCTCGCTTAACTTTTAACTAGTGGTTCTCTTTTTAACTTACCTTTTAACTAGTTGAAAGTGGAATTACTTAACTTTTAACTCAAGTTAATTTTGAAGGCTGCTAACTTGTAATTTTAACGAGTTACATGTTTCATCAACTTTTTCCCACGACTGCTTGGCAGCAAGGGGCTCCGGCTCGCCGCCAGCACCTCGGGGCCTGCTCGCGGCGCGCGCCCCCCCCGCGGGGGGGCCAGGGGCGCCCGCCGCAGCCTGTGGCCGCTGCGGATCGCAGTCGGACCAATCGGCACAGGGCAGCACCCCGGCAGCCAATTAAATGCAGACAAGGAGGGCGCGGTTCTCGGCCCGCCTCCACAGGCAGAGGCCAATCAGAGCGAGGAAGCGACTCCGCCCACTCGTCCACTCCACCCAATCGCCTCCAGGTGGCCGATGGGAAGGCGAAGCTGCGATCCGGGGCGTGCAGCGCTGCCCGGGCGGGGCGGGGCCGCCCTCCTCTGCTCTCTCTCGCCCCAGCGCTGTCTGAGCACCAAAGCGGCTGCTCTTCTTTCCGCGGAGGAGGAGCAGGAGCGCTGCGTGTCAGGGCCGGTGCCCGACGCAGCCCTTGCACGCCCTGCCTGGTAGGCGCACACCACAGCGGGCGGGGGCAAGACTTGCACTGAAGGCCTTCAGGGAGGAAGGCCTGACACAACTGAACTAGAAAAGCACCACCACGCTCACCCGGATCCTGAGCGTTTTATTGTCAATGGGACCATTTTTTTCTTTTGAAACAAGGGACAGGTGAACTTCAACAGATTATACCCAAGCACCACGACTGCCCCGTACCTTAGTTTTTAGTTCCTACAGTGCATTAACAATTGTGAACCGAGGACTAGGCCCCACGTGCAACACATGCTTTGCCCAGCTGTAAACCAGAATGGGAAATATTTGCAAGAACAGATTGGATCGGTAGACAGGATGAAAAAGTTGATTCCTTCAGCCGAAGCTCAACAGGAAAGGATAACGGCCAAATCTTCTCAGTGCAGAAAAGCACCAGCCGCAAAGTGAAAAGTTTTTTGTACTGTTTATTGTTCGACTGTGCACATCTTAGGCCCACTTGTTCCTGCTGGTTTGACACTGGCCACGCCAAGTGCCGTTTGGACGCAGGACGAGATCTTTGTCCCTGTGGAGCTGGAGATCAACACTTCCGACCACCCACAGAGCCTTAAATTTACAGACACAAACAAATTGCACCAAACAGCCTCAGATTGGCCCTGCAAGCTACAGCCAGCCAAGCCACAAACAGAACCGAGCACAAACTTGCATTTCTACACTAACGAGAACTGCTCACAACCCAACCGAGACAAGCCTACACGCTGATCAACCTCTCAACTAGCAAAGCCAAACCACCTGCAAAAACCTTGACTGCTGCATATCAATATGCACAAAATACGCACAAGTAGCACAATGCCTCAACCTCGCTGCACACTACCGGGGCCAACTCAGGACCATCGTGCTGGAACTAATATTCTGGGTTCGGGGCAGAGAGGGGAATGCTTTCTTTTTCCCTGTCCCGGCAGCTGGGGTGAGTGGGGGGGCACGGGTGGCACCACTGGCTGGTGCCCTGCTCTGTAATACACGTTTCTGTTGCAGATAAACCTGTACTTGAAGATGGAGAAGCAGCCAAACAAGGAGCAGCTCTTACTGGTGAACAACCTGCTAAAGCTGGCTACAAAACTCATGAAGGCAAGTCTGCAGCTGTACAAGCCTCCTCGGGACTCTCAGAAACTGAACCGGTTAGGATGCTGGTGTGGAAAGACCCTGGACCCTCACACCCACCCAGTATTTCCTTAGACGCTGCTATCTGGGCCCAGCTGCTGTCTCATGCCTCATAAGACCTATGAGGCAGACCCCGTGTTCTTGGTTTGCACAGCCCCCCTGCAATAGGCCTGCTTACTACAGGCATTTTAGGGCCAAACTTTAGGAATCTCCCCTGCAGGCACGGTATTACACAGCTGACTTGAGCCACGCCAAGAAAAGACAGTATGTGCAGTCAGAAGGAGCATAAGCTGGCAGGCTCATGGCTCTGCCAGGCTGCTGTGCCCAGCCATTCAGCCACTGACTATTAAATGCAGCAGCAAGGGCAGAGAGCTGCTCTACAGCGAGAGAGAGACCTCTCCGACACGTTCGCTGACAGGCTTCCTTGCAGCCGGCCCGGCCTCTGGCTGCTTGCACCCGCCCAGGGAGGGCGCAGACCCCCCGTGGCACTCCCACAGCAAACAAGGGCATTTGTGCCCAAAAGCTTGCTAAGAACAGTTTTTCCAACTGTTTGAGTTGGTCTAATAAAAGATAGTGGATTTACCCAAAGAGCCTTGTCTGCCCGTGTCCTTAGACCAACATGGCTACAACTGACACCACCAGGTCTTTCGTCTCTGTGAGCACCAGGAACAGGCTATGGTAACAGAGCACTGGGCCCATCCACACGCGAGCAAGACAGACGGCCCCCCCCCTTCCCACTCCACTCACTCAATTACTCCACCCTGGATGTACCATCACTTTATTGCAAGTCTCCAAAAAAGTGTTTTTCCCTGTAAAAGACATGTTATTTCCAGACAGGGTAGGGGAGGACATTCCTGGGGACATTATCCAGGTTAGTGCAGGAACCTGAGCAGGGCTGTGCCTGTGCAGTGCAGGGACTCGCTGCAGGGGCTGGGTCTACCTCACCAGGTGCACTCAACCTGGGGCTCAGTCCTGTGGGCAAGCCAGCACCCAGCACTGCCCTGGGCCCGTGTCCCCCATTTCCCCAGCAGTGCTGGGGCAGGACCCCCTGCCATCACCCCTCCAAGAGACACCATCTCCACTCCCCGCACAGCCCCATGGGGGCCAGAGCTCCTCACCCCACCAGCTCCCACTCCTCGGCACCAAGCACGCGGTAATTGCAGTCACGGTAGCTGCCAACGTCCTGGGTGCGGCGCTCCCGCGTATCATCATAAATCTTCTGGATGACGGGGGGCAGTGGTGGAAACCCCCCGAGCTGTGCCAGCTCCTGCAGGTAGCCCCACTGCCGCACGCCCAGGCGGTGGAAGTGCCGGGGGGAACCCCCAGCAGCCAGGTAAACCCGCAGCTCCTCCTCAGCTGCCACCTGCCGCTCGGGGGCAGGGGGCAGCAGGCAGGTACCTGTGAGCACAGCCAGGCAGAAGAGCACCTGGACGTGGAAGTGCGGGAAGGGGCAGATCTGCTGGCACAGCCCCACCAGGAAGAGGCACGGGTGCTGGGGCGGCAGGAGGTGGCGGTAGAGTGGGGCCACCAGGTGGTCCCCCACGCACAGGCCCAAGCGGGCAGCAGGCAGGAAGGGCAGGCGGTAGGCATAGCCTGTGCACAACACCAGTGTGTCAGCCACCTGCACAGCCCCATCCGCAAAGCGCACCAAGGGCCCTGCCACGCTCGTCACTGGCGCCGCCTGCCCCACGCCAGCCGGCAGCCCCCGCACCCGAACCTGGCTGTGGCTCAGTGTCACACATCGTGCCAGGGGTGCCAACTGCTGGGCCAGGTCCACGCCTGAGGGGCCAGCGCCTACCAGCACCACTGAGTGACCCGCAAAGGGCTCAGGGCATCGGTAGTCACGGCTGTGCAGCACCTGACCTGTGGGGAGGATGGGGAGGTCAGCAGGGAGCAATGGGGGCCCTGCATCTGCCCCACAGGGACAGCCAAGGCCCCAGGGCCAGGTGAGGGTTGGGGGTTTCCCCACCTGTGAAGGTCTCCAAGCCAGAGATGGAGGGGATGAAGGGCGTGGAGTAGTGCCTGCAAAGGGAGCAGAAACGAGGGCTCGGTCAGTGCTGGCCTGGGCCCACAGGTGGGTCCAGACCCCCCCCTTCCCCACAAGACCTCCCCAATCCCTACTGCAGCAGCGAGCACAGACCCACTCCAGGGCCCAGAAGCCTCTGCCCCCTCCCCCACCTCCAGCCAGGTAGCAGGACCTGCATCCCCGTAAGCAACACCCCCACACCACCCGATGCATCATACGTCCACAGCCTCAGAGGTCCTTCCAGACACCTGCCTCAGCAAAGCTGGTCTACCTGTGGCCCCCGCACTCACCCACTGCAGACCATGATGGCATCGAAGCGCTCAGTCTCCTGCTCTCCCCCGCCTGTGGCCTGGCTGGAGGTGACGTCCCAGCCACTCTCAGGGCCATCCACAGGGGTCACTTGCTTCACCAAGCGCTGGAACTGGCAGGGCAGGAGACTGTCAAGGGCTAGGGGTATGGGGGCAGGGGGATTACGCCCTGGGGCACAATCCAGCTGGGGAGTGGGGGAGTGAGTGGGGGGGCTGCAGGCCGCAGGGGGACAGAGCATCAGTTGCCCCAGCCCATCTCTGGGTGAAGCGTCAGCTCCCCAACTGCCCTGCTGTGCCCTCCCCGACCTCCCTCTCACCCGGATGTACCCCCGCAGCCCGTGGCTCTCGGTGTAATGCTCCAGGTAGCTCAGCACCGCGGCACGGGGCAGGAACGAGGGCAGCGCCACCTCAAAAGGGAAGTCAGGGAAAGCCATGGCCTCCTTGGGCAGGTTGGTCCTGCCACAGAGGGGAGCAGATGACGAGTCAGTGCTGCACCAGCCATTCCCCCCCTACCCTGGCTCCCCCCACCCCCCCAGGGCAGGTACCTGAGGTCCCGGTACATGTTGCAGGGCAGGGGCGGCCCCTTGCCAAACGGCCTCTCCTCGCTGTAGACCCAGGTGCCACCCAGCTGGGCTGAGGCCTCAAAGACCACAGGGGGCGCAAAGGCCTCAGGGCGGGCAGCCAAGTGCCGAGCAGCGCAGAGCCCCGCTGCCCCTGCCCCAACCACTGCCACGCGCAGCTGCCGGCCCCGCACCTCCATCCCGGTCCCTGGAGAGCACGGAGGGGATTAGCACCTACAGAGCCAACCAAAACCTCTCCCCAGCCCAAGCTGCACGGAGGCTCCTGCTAGTAGCAATCTGAGCCCTGCAGGACTTTGCTCTGGGAGCAAAGCACAAGACAGACGTCAGGGTACGTGCCCGACTCGTTTCTCCCCCCATCCCACACCCAACAAGTGCGGCCACATGGACCACGACCAGTGGGAGGGGCAGGGGGTTGGTGCATATATCCAAGCCACAGCATGGAAGGATGGAGGGGTGGCCTATCAGGGGGGCATTGAACTGCTCCCTCTCAGGACCTCAAGAGGTAGATTGTACTTTTGAAAGAGCCACCCAGATGCCACATGAAGATGTGTTGCAGTACAAAAAGAAACCCCCCCACTAATGCACACCATTAGTTATGACACACCACTCTTCCCTGGAACCTACATGGAAATCCTCAAACAATTGCAACCTAAACCAGGAGACCCAATTCTTAAAGTGATCTTTCCAGAACCACCCGTCCTAGCCTTCAAACAAGCACTGAACCTCACCAACCTCATCACCAGAAGCAAACTCCCTATGACCCAAAGCACGCCGCATGGATCCAGACCATGCCAGAACAAGAAATGCAAAACCTGCCAACACATCACCACCCCCACGATAACTACACCCCACAAAAGAACAAGCACCACTCTTGGATCTTACACCTACATGTCCTAAACTGTGATACATCTTGACCAGTGCACTGAATGCCCAGATGGAAAACGTGTAGAAACCAAACTCTGCACCAGAATGAACTTACAGCAAAACACTATCAAAAACAAAAATATTCAAATTATCTGTGGGTGCAGACTTCTCTCAAGACAACCAGTCCCTCTCTGACCTCTCAGTTCTAATCCTCAAAGTGAATTTACAGAACACCTTTCATAGACAAGCCTGTGAACTTCACTTGTAAATCTACTGGATACAAAAAAATATTACAGACTCAACATAGACGTTGGATTTATAACATATCACAAGCTACCTGACCTTACCACTTACAATTTCCCTCCCCGCCCTTTGCTTTCCTAATTTCCAGCTATTTCCTTTGAATCTCCCTTTCTTACGTTTAGCATTGCTTCACCCCCCCCCCCCCCCCCCCCCGCCCCTCCCCATTCTCCTCTTCTCCTCCCTTCTCTACCCCTTGTTTTCCTAATGTCTACCTATTTACATTCTCACTGACCTCCTGTCATGCTTTTAGCTTTGTTCATTCCTTGGAGATCTCAGAGCAGCAGAGACTCCCTGTGCCTGAAAGAGGATGATTGTGCCCAAAAGCTTGCAAATAACATTTTTCCAACTACTCAGTCTAATAAAAGGGATCACATCCACCCAAAGAAGTTTGCCTGCCTGCGTCCTGACTTCAGCCACAAACGCTCTCAGGACCCGTTCACAGCCCCAACAAGGGGGGTAATCCGGAGGGGGTGGGGAAGGTGGACAGTCATGGCTCTCTCCCTCCCCACTCACCCCCAGGCAGCTGCCTGCTACTTCCTCAGACCACACCCCCACCAGGGGGCATGCTGGGAAACACAGGCAGCCAATGGGTAAAATGGGCTCTGACGTCATCAGGGGAAGCCCCAGCAGCAGGGACAGGACCCCAATGCTAGATGCACTGCAGTAGGGAAAAGGACAGCCCCATGCACCCGCTGGTCCCCAGCTTCCTTTCTCGCCCCCCCCCGCGCACAACCTGCCCTGGACTGGGTATGGTTGCCACAAACAGGGGGCCTTGATCCCACGTGCTCCAACATGCTTTAATAAAGACAAAACAGAGCAGACTCGAACACAGAACCAGGGAAGGGGAACAGGGTACGGCGCACATCTACAAGTGGGCAGACAGCCAGGTCGGGGGTGGGGGGGAAAATCAAGGCCCCCACGGCCTAAGAGACCCTTCACCCCACAGACTTCAGCCCCTGTTGCCACAGCCTGGACCAGCAGCCCCGACCATCTCAGTGTCCCCCATCCTGGCCACGAGCCAGCAGGCGCAAGGGAACCAGGAACAAGTTCAGAGGGCAAAGGCCCAGGTCCTTCCAAACTGGGCTGGGGACGGCTGCAGGGGGCCGGGTGAGGGGCTGCAATGTGTCACCAAGGGGGGCCGGGGGTTGGGACATCCTGTCCTGGGAGCTTCTGGAGGGCTCAGAGACCCCATCCTGGGGGCTGCAAGGAGGTGGGGACCTCCCATCCGCAGAGGCCAGAGGTAAAGCTGCCACCTCCTGGGAGCTGCTGGGAGCCTGGGTTACAGAGGGGCTGGCAGAGACCAGCAAAGTCCCCGCCTCTTGCTGCTCGTCTCCCTCAGCGCTGCCGGCTGCTGCAGGACCATTACTGCATGGCTGCAGCTCCGCAGCACCCGGGGGCCTCTCTCCTTCCCCCGGGGCAGGGGCTGGTGCCGTGAGGTTCTTGTAGGCCCGGTGCAGGTGCCTCCTGAGGCTGTCGCAGTCCAGGAGGCTCACCTCCTCAGGCAGCGACAGCAGCAGATCCAGGACGACGGCCGCCTCTGCCAGGAAGGAAGAGAACAGTTCTTGTGAGCCCCAGAGCCCAGGTCCCACCCTTTGTGGGAACGCGTTTCCCTCCCACAGCAAAGTCCCCAGCCCATGCTCGCAGATGCCCCAGCCAGGCAGCTCCCGCTCACCCCCAGGCGTCAGCTTGAGCACACGGACGTCCTTGGACAGGAAGTACAAGTAGCGGTAGATCTTTTCAAAGCTCACAGCGAACTCCTCGGGCTCCTGACCCGCATCGGCAGTCGGGGACGTGGCTTCGTCACTAGCCTGGGGGGCCTCTGGGGACGTTGGGGCCTCATCAGCAGCAGCACGGAGCGGGCGCGGGGGCAGCGAGTGCAGCACGCTGGCTGGCTCAATGGTCGCGATGGTCAGCACCTGCGAGGGAGAAAGGGGAGCAGGGACTGAGGAGCTGCCCCAACCTCTGTCCCTGCGTGGGGACACAGGCCAGGCTGGGAGACGGGACCAGGACCGCTGCAACCCTCACCCCTACGTCACCTGGGAGAACGCCTCAGACACGGCCTCCTCCAGCCTCTCCGACAGCTTCTGGGCCAGGTCCGTCCACACCTGGGAAGCAGATGCCAGTGACAGCTGGGACAGGCCCCGCCCGGGCGCCACAGGACACCCAGCGAGCACCCCTGACTTGGCAGGGCCCCCCCAACACCCCTGTCATCCCCCCCAGTCTCACCTCGATGGGTGCAGAGACCTGTGCCCGACGGCGCCGTTTCTCAGCCTGGCAGCGGCGGGACTCGGGCTGCACGGCCTCCCGGGCCACACGGCCCTTCAGGTGCCGGATGTAGCCCAGGATCTGCAACAACAGTGTGGCCATGAGCGCCCGGAGGGCCCCACAGCCTCGCCCCGGGGTGGGGGGGTGGAATGCGGCCTGGCGCGGGAGGAAGGAGAGGAAGCGAAACAGGGTGCGTGCCGCGGGTGCAGGGAGCGGCGCG